ACATTATATACTCATAGTTACACTTCGGTAAGGTTATATAACGCAGGCTATAAAATAACGAGATAACGACAGTGGTTTTGTCGTATCAGAATCATTAAGTGTCTTAATAAGTACACGGATAGGTTTTTTTCCCAATAAATCGAGTTTCTACTATAATCAGTTACACGATTTAGTCGCCTGTGATATCATGTAATAAACACAATATTATGATACCGATCATTGGGCCCTAAACTAATCTAACACGGATAGACGTTACCAACTGATAAATTTTAGTGTCTGTTCGTTTCTCACATCTGGTACACCGGGTTTTGATTTAAAAAAAAAAAAAAAATGGAATTTGTGTAAACTTTAAGTCAAAAGTGGTACTTGAGCACAAAACCTAATAGTATCATTCTGCATAGATATAAATAAAATAGTTTTAATGATTTGATCAATTTTTTTTAAAGATTTTAGGTGTTTTTTGTTAAAATATACGCAATGTGCGAAAACACGGTTTTCCGGCAATTAAAAAAAAACATTAGTGCCGAATTTTTCACCCGCTTAATATGTTATGGATACATATGAGTTCCAACTACTGGCAAATTTTCAACCCAAAAGTTTTAAAATTACGGCTAAAAACCCCGAAAAACAAAAAAACTTGTACCCCCCCTAGGGGGGCGGGAAATGGGTATATTTTGAATTTGACAAAACTGACGTGCGCGGGCGTACCAAATAAATATTTCCTATACATTTCAACTCGAACCCACTCTTTTTCTCGATACTATAGCCAGTAAAAGTTCTAACTTAAAAACTTTCGTCTATGAAGACTTAAACTTTTTCAACTTTTACTTCCCCAAAGTACAAACTAGACAAAATAGAGTTGCTATTCGAAGGAATTGGTCTAGTATTAAAAAAGTTACAGTGTATACAGCGAAAAAAAAAGCCCACATCAGAGTAAAACCAATACCTTCTCGCTTTGCATCGAAGCTAAAACTATTAAAAAAAGTAAAACAGGTAAGTGCAATAAAAATCATGGTGCTTATAGCGCAAATGAGTATAAATTATTAAAAAAAAAAAAATCTCAAAAATATTCACTAGAACAAAAGACATTTCATTTGTCAAGTCTTTGTGGGCCACCCTGTATATATTAGATGTATTTTGAACAATTATTAGGTAAAAAGTGGGTATTATATTTTGTACAAATATTTATGCAGTTATTGGCATTTTGAGAATTAAGCTGGAGGAAAAGCTATCAAAATGGTCGTTATTTATTAAAATTATTAAAGTTTGGATATTGTAAATAACTATAATCATACAATTATACCTACTTAGTCTTACGGAAAAATTGTGCAGAAACAAAATCACGTTGCTCTTGTATGCGCCTACGTAGACAGGAGAGACGCAGTTTGGATTCAGCGCAGTACCATTCTCTGGTGAGACAGTGTATAATAGCTGATCTGCTCTATTGTTGTTCCCGAAATGCATGGGTTATATATGTGCTCGGTCGTTGACAAAAAAAAAAAAGTTTATCAGAATTTTTTTAAAAACTCGCCACACGAGAACAACGTAGAGTATCTCACAACAGCAATTTTACAGAATAGAAAACATTTATATCTGAACAACGTTTATATTGCGTTACTGTTTAGGAGAAGTACCTAATTAAAAATATTCGAGGGAAAAATTATCACTACCAAAGGCGGTTCTCGGATTGGTTTACTATTGACAAACCTGTATTTTTAATTTTACCCAACTGCAGTTAAGTCGACAGTGACAGTTAACTCAATTGCAGTTTCGATAATTACCGTCGTCTTACTCCAAAGACATACGTGCATATTAGAAATAGAGATAAAAATAAAAATATCAAGCACAGGCCTATGAAGAAATGAACTGATAGTAGAGAGAGATCCGAGAGTCGATATCGCTAAGAAGAGAGAGAGTCATTTTTTGGGTATCCAATAGAAGAAATAATATCACGGAAAGTAGTAATATAATAATAGCTGTTTAGACTTATAATTATCATGTTATTATTGTACCGTGTAGCACTGTGTTTTTGTTATCGGACAATAGCTAGTGCCATGTCTTAATTTTTTTACACCGCTGTGTGTGTAACCACGTTTTTTTTTTTTTTGTATAAAATAAATGTCGTTCTAATAATTAAAGTTTCTATTTGTTGTCATATTGAAATATGAATTATTATAAATAATATGTTAAAATAAGTAATATACAGTCCACTCTATTCAAATTATTATTATCCCCCGATAAAAACTCAACCAATAGCTGTTAACGAAATTTTTAATTTGTTTTATTTAAGTATCATATTTTAATTGTTTTATAAATTTAATGAATCAATGTATACTCCGTTCTTGCAAAATAAAGACATTATCATGCATCGGCAAGTTTGTACTTTATTTACTTATATATTTTTTTTTTTTTTTTTACATTTAAGTACGTTGTCGAATCCTTTTCGAATTTAGTAGTATAAATACATTTCTGAGTTGACCCCATTGTTCTGTTTTTTTTACATCAAATATCCAGTTTTGTACTTTAACTTAACATTACATAAATATACTTATCTAAACAAATAATTAAATATCAATAAAAAGTGACTCTAATGGATTGACACAAACTGTTACACCTACATTATAGAATGTTAACTCTAAATATTGTAAACAAAATTAATTGATACTAATATGCTACCATTTTTTTTTATGTTAGCCGTTAGGTATACTGTATACTACTTTATCTACTGACTACTTAAGTTATTTTTTATTAAAATGTAATTAAACTCATTCAATTGTTCAATTATTCTTCAGTATTTAATTGGTTTTAAAATTTCACATAGACATAAAGATTGTATTGTACATTGTTAACTAATTTATCATCACTGCTATGATGATAATTACTATTTAATTCCCATTGAATCATTAAATTAATTCTATAGCTTTATGTACGATAAACGTATAATCGATGTTTGATTAAATAAGTATAATTTAGTTGAAGGATAGTATGTCGACACCCAACGAATTTGCGGATATGGCGACCTAATAGCGCCTTCCAACTTTGCTGATAGGCAACCTAATGGACCCTAGTATGGCACAGCATTAGGAAAATAACTGTGACATGATAATGAAAAAGATCTTCGGTTTATACATGGGAAACAAGGAAATTGAGTTTAGTTAAATCCAGGCAAACTCGAGGCCGGTCACGTTTTATATACATCAAGATACTTTCTTATCAGTTACCATTAGTTTTGAATGAACGAAAATATTATTTTGTAGATGCAGCTCAAACATAAGAAACGAGTTTTTTATATAAATAATATTTTGGAAATATTGTATAGTTCTATCATCGTTATTATTGTGTTCAGTTACTGTGTATTTATTTTCTAGCACTGGAACGTTCTCAAAACATATTGTAAGTCGTGCCATTTATTTGTCTAAAACTATTTATTGAAATAAGAAAAAACGTACTTTGTTGTTGTTTTAGTGTACTTGTTCAAACAGTCACCCATTGTACACACAATCTTATGGAAAAAAATATGCATTCAAAGACCATAACATCATTTAATTTGATTTTAACACTATATTCAGTGGCGGCTCGTAGCTATGTGCGATGGTCAGCCGCACCTCTTACAGAAATAACGAAATAGTAGAAATAATATAATTGATTTGATATTTTTTGTTAAGGAATACTTTATTATTTTTCGTAGTATCTTTATTCTATAAATATAATATCATATTATCGACGGCGGCGGCCGTATAAACTATAATGTGCGATGTTGTTGATAAGCGTCTTCATTTTATCATAAAATACGTTTGTGTATGGACAACAGAGGAAAACGGTAACTATATTATTTAGTATTTTAATTTTAATTATAATTAATTAACGTATTATTAACGTTTAGTTTTTTTTTTAAAGTAGTATTTTACTATAATATAATACAAATTCCGTGCAAGATATTTTATAATTCAAATTTTAATTTCTTTCATTAGAAAACAAAGTAGAAATAAACAATTTAGGTAGACCTGTACCAAGTTTACCCAATTTAACTAAAAAGGACAAAATGAATACACTCGTCACTTTAATACTGGGCTTTATCAAAAGTTTAAGTATGGTACTTTCACAACCACAAAGCCATTATTAACGTTATTTTGTTTCCCTTGTGTTAACTGTTTTGGAGTAAGACTGGTGTAAAAGATTTAATACATCTTTTAGCCAAAATAAATAAACATGAAAATTCGCTTAAACATCTATAGAATGAGGCAAATTTCAAAGTGTTAGGAACTATTGACATAAGACATAAAGGTTTAATATTATTTTTTTCAACTTAAAAAAAAACATGCCTTGCAAAAACAGCTTGATGGATCAAACCTTTTGAATTTGAGTTTTTCTTTGAAAAAGTTGATTTAAATGTAAAAATAATGTTTAACATGTTACAACAGACAATTTACCATTCTTGTCTACACATAGTATATGAAATTGTATAATTAGTACACCTTAAGTCTTTTACCTATGTCTAACAAGAGTTATTTAAGAAAAGATGCTTATATCTTCTGGATGAAACGTTTTATGATGTTATCTTAGGCTATCACTGTACTTCAGTGGTATTATATTTAAGGGTATTTTTTTAGGTTCAAAGGGAAAGAGGTGATTATTTAAAACTTCTGAATAAATAAAGTACTTTTTTTTATTCTAATTTACAGTTTCTTTTTCCTTATCCACAAGTTGATTGTTTTGCACGAATTTAAATTAAACGGTACACTCTCAATAGGATTAGATATCACATTGAGAGTTGCTAGGGCTGGGTATTTATCACCGTTGTTGCTTGATTTAGGACTTTTTTTTGGAAATTTGAAAGCGATTTCGGAACAACAATTATTACCAGCTGATTAGGTATATTATGCCCTAAATTGTCGTTTATTACTTTGTACTGTACTTATTAACATTGATGAACGTTATATTCAAATAAATAAATACATTAAAATAATTGTATGTTTTAAACACATTTAATTTAGTTGAAAATTAACATTTGTCAGTTTTACAAAGATTTTGATTCTTCAATCGTATAACCTCAGCGTGTTTTATAGATATTGCTTCCCTTATAAGACCTACGTAATCGTTTATTTCTTTTTCTAATGTTTTACTAACAGTTGTTACAAGTCCCTCAAATTCATCTACTTCTATCATTTCTGAAACAAAAAAAAACTCTCTTAATTTAAAAACGAACTATCAATTTATATAAATTGTTAGCATACAAACAGCAGTCATACACTGTACAACTGACTAAAAAGTGTTAAATGCGAGGAATTTTTACAACAACAATACCGTTTATATTATACGTGAACTCCATATAAAACGTTTCTTAAAAATTATTATTAAAAGAAGTAAAATTAATGTTTACGGTTATATAGCACTGTTTCGTCCAGACTGCGACGAAAATATTTGGTTACCGCCATCATCACATAATCTCTGGTACCTGTTAAGCTACCCACAAATTCTAAAAACTGATAAACTGTTATGGCATTTTGTTGGGATACATCAGTATGGTCAGCATTGATACAATTTAAAACCTCTTTAAAAGCGACATCTAGAGCCTGAAATTTAGTTACACTTATATCACTACACATCGTTACTAGTTACATAAAAAACTGATAATACAATTTAAATTCGTTTAAACTACAGGTCAACGTAAATCGAACAATCATTAACGTGATACAAGCCATAGAGAACTGCATAATTCCAATAAATGTATAATTAAACAAATTCACGAAAAAATAAAGTTTTTCCATTATTCAATTAATCAAGATGAACTTAACTCTTTACCCGTGAACTAATTTTAATATTGTACACAATTAAATTAGCTATTTACTTAAAAACAACATTTGTATGACTAAAACTCATTTATGATTGTGGTTTACAAACATGGGTCGGATGAAACTCAATAAAAATATCGTTTTTTATTCGCCAACTAAAAAAAAAATTGTATCTCCAAAATGAAACAAATATATTTTTTCAGAATTTAAGCAATTGATTCAAATGAAATACATACTTAATAAAAATAGTTAAATTATAACTATCAATAATCTAAATTAGGATTTAATGTTAAGTAGAAAAAGTTACTTGGTAACTAAAAAAAAATAAATTATAAATAAAAGTATAATTTTTGTACATTCACAAAAACGGAAAGCATTATTTTTTTTTACAAATAAAGACTAAAACGTGGAGTCACTTTCTGAAGTATCTACCGAACCGATTTCAATAATTTTTTTATTGTTTTATAGTTTAACATCTTCTCTATGGGGGCTAAGTGTCAAGAGACAGATTTTTAATTTTTGTTTTCAAAAAATATTTATGAGCATTTTTATTTTTACTTTTTTATAGTTTTATCTAATACATCTAACTACTTTTTTAATCGCTAAATAAAAATCGGCTTTTAGCCCCACAGAAAAAATAGTAATCTTCGTATAAAAAAAAAAACTTCAAATTCGTTCAATAGATACGCCGGAAAAAGACGAAAGTAATTTTTTATCAAATTTTCGTCTAATCCGGAGAAAAATAACTTTAGAAGTATTATAATTAGAAAATTATAACATATGTTCATCTTGAAATTAGTAGGCATATGAAAAATGGCTATTAGATCAATGTTTGTCAAATATTGCCTATCCTTTGCCCCTTAATAAATAGCGCTTTCCGTTCCCCTTAATCATTTTATTTATGGGAAATACTTTTTTAAATTTGGAGTATTTTTATTTACTAGAGCACCTGGTTATTAGCTATTCACTTTTATCAGTTTTATTTATAACAATTCTTGTAGACCTTTGACCTCTCCGCCGCCTCTATGCTTTGATTCCATTATGCACTTTTATTTATAGCAATTCTTGTAGATCTGTGACCTCTCCATCGCCTCTATGCTTTGATTCCATTATGCCTATTTTCTACTTTACCAATCCTCTCGGACAAAATCACTTTCAAAGTAATGCTTTGATGCTTTTTTGTTAATACAGCACCTCAATTTAAAACTTTCTAACTTTGCTATTAGTATGGCCATAGAAAATTATTTAAACAAAAATTTAAGGAAAAATGGTTAGGTATGTGCTCTAAGATTATTGTGATGTTTATTTGTTTTATATTTTCGTGCAATTAATTAAGCAGATTAAGGTATTGAAAGCGGGCGGGTTTTAATAAATTTCGACCATATCAATTTGTCTCCAAGTTCATTTGTAATATGTATGAACTTGGTAGTATTAGTTTTAACGTATACAATTGTTTCTACGACTTAAAGTCATTTTGCTAGTACATGAAACCAATTTAGACTTAAAGACCGGACATAATTACGCCTACTTCGGGTGATCGGATTTTAATTCTGTAAAAATATTTAAGCTTATCCGCTTTTTTTCCATGTTATTGTGGATGTAAATTTTTGAATAATTATTTCATTTACTTAAAAAGACTAGAAAATGAATAGGATTTAATCATAAATTTAATTGAAATATTAATAATCGATTCCATCAGTAAGCTAGAAATGAGGCCATTAAGTTCTAATATTTTTACAGAATTTAAATCGGACCATCCTAAATTGGCGTAGTTTTGTCAGGATTTTACATCTAAAACGTCAAAAATACGTTTCAATGGAAGAGCTAAAAGGCCGATTTTTAATTAAGCTATTAGAAAATAAGTTAGAAAAAAAACTGTAAAATACAAATGATTATAGTAAAATTTTAAAAACAAAAATTAGCCTTTAAGCTCATTTAGAGAAAATAGTATGATGAAGTAAAAAATAATTTAAGCACCCATACAGGCTGAAACAAGCGCCCACATAAGAGCAGCCAATATGACCTGGTTTTTTTAATGTCTTAATACACTTAAGAGATTTGATAATAGTGGAATACCATACATGTTAAACGTTTAGTTTACTGTACGTAATTTAACACAAATAATCTACAAAATATGTATAAGTAATTGTTGGAAAAAACTATATATACCTGTTTTTCCTGTTTTGTTATCTTCACAACACAGTTGACTGATTGAGTAAAAAATGTTAGACACAATAAAATAATAAACTTCATATTCATAATTATTGTAATAATATTTTTTCGTTTTCAATAAGGCTACAAACTTTATTTGAAATCTACTACACAATGATTCTTATGCTCAAGAACAGGCAGTTTTAAAGTAAAAAGTTTTAGGTCAACCATGTTTTTACTATATTTACATATGTCAAAGAAATTCACACTACGGTTCACTTCGCAAAAAAATTCCACCAAAGAGTGGACTATTTGTTTAACATGTCATGACTGTGTTGTTGATTCAATAGAAAACTTTTAGAACAACAATTTTCTAAACGTTTCTTCGGGACTATTTTTTAGTGTTATAAAGTTTGAATTGCAATCCAACAGAAAAGCCAAAATGAATATATGTAGGTAGAGTCTTTGAAATCAGTTGACAACTACTATATTTTTATTTATGTAAACATTGGGAACAAAACCGCACAACGTATAAAAACTTGATTTTCTCATAATTCGATGAGAACAAAGTATCTCAGTTAAATATGGGCAACATTTTTTTAAACGCCCTGTTGTTTTAGTTTCGGATGCGTCCAGTAAAACATCAAAATTCAATAAAATCGTTTTTATTATCTGATAAACGCTATTCCTAATATATAATTTGATTTATAGCAGATATCAAAATGTCAGGTTTGGGAAATAAGTTTTAGAATACGGCGTGTACTAAGTTATTTGTTTTACAACGATTTGTTATTTGGTTTCTTCAACGGTGAACAAATGTAATAATGATAAAAACTCATTGGCGTGTTCGCTATAATATTATATTCGAAGCGTTAACTTGACACGCACAACAAACTTGAAAACCATAGGCAACTTGTTTTCTTCTTTATTTTTTTATCATGTCCCTTAAGCCAGTAACACATGTGTATAAACATAAAGTATATTTTACCCATACAATGACTTGTTATTCGGGCTTTTTTCATCGGTGCAGAGTAAATAGCAATACTGTATTTTGTATCAATCTAACGTAAGGCATTTGTTTTGCGATGAGCTGTTTTTATTTTGTATGTTTACCACCGAGCTAAAATCTGAACGACTCAAGTGTTTGTAGACCTACTTGTGTGCTCTTAAATCAAACCTCGACTAAAAAATGTACAGTTTTTAAAACTTCATATTTAGGTCAAAGCAAACCTAGGGATTATTTAAAAACAAATTATTCAACACAATTTTAAATAATTATTGTAAAAAGATTAAGATAATAATATTATTTTAAAGAAGGTCCAAATAGTAATTTCTTATAAATAATAATTGTTATTCAAACACATTTAAAATAGGTAAAAAAATGTTTAAAAAGCCGTTTAAATCAATTTATAAAAGTTAACTTTAAATAATTTGTATTATTATTGTTATTCGATTGTTGAAAAAAATTATAGCCAGATTTTTTTGCTTTATTCTTAAAAAATTGCAAATTTAATTTATTTAATTACAAGAAACTGAAATTTTTAAATGAAATCGGGCTTCTTGCATAACATAGTAAACTAACCAATGAACTCGAATCTCTTTACAGAATTGAAATTAGACCATCCTATGTAGTCGAAATGGACGGGGACCCGTTAGGCGGATCGCACGTCAAATTAAAAAAAAAGAGAGAGTGAAGGGGAAACAATAAAAACAAATATATAAATTAACAACAAACCATGTTATCGTGATGGGATATATTAACCATGGTGTAGATGTTCTACTTAATAATAGTATACCTGTTGTAATTTTGTAGAAATTTGTCCCTTTTTAAATTACTACACAAGTTATAGTCATTTTTGTTTTTTCTTACAAATAAAAATAATATTACACAAAATGTAAATAATTAGTCTTTATTTAAAAAGAAAACAGTGATTTTTCAACTATAAAAGCCGTTAAGACGTATTGTATATTGAAAAAAACTTTTTTAATAACATTTAAAGAGATTTAATATTATAATATTATTTACTAATCATCACTTTCGATTTTAATTTCTCTAAGGAGAGTCCAAGGAAACAATTCGTTTCTATCTAATTCCTTATTATCCGTTAAATTATATAAAAAGTGTGAAAATAGTTTTTACAATATATTCTCATATGTTCTGTTATATATTCCTCTAAGTACGGTTTTATTAAATTCCAATCTTCTGCATTGTCACCCATGTACGAGTAATAATTCCATATTGAAAGACTTCCTTCAGTCACTTCTTACTTGTAGCCTACCCATTTTATAGCATTCTTGTACACCTCATCAATAATCTGAAAATTGTTAATCAACACAAAGTTTAATTCCATAAAATATCTGATTATAAAATTTAAGCAGGCGTTGACTTAAATAAATACGTGCTAATAATTAAGAATCATTAAACAATTTATAAACAATTTTTTTTATAAATTTAATAGAAATACAAGTGTAAGTTTGATTTATGTATTATTATTTTTTTGGGGAAAGGAGCAATGTGAGTTTTTAATTTATGTATTAAACAAAGTAGTAAAATGTATACATTTGTATGGTTAAACATTTATTGTATTTAATGAATTTTACTCGAATGATTAAGTTACGATTCTAACTTTAATCTAATATTTCAGAAAAATGTTTTAAGAAACAATATTCAAAACTTATTTTGATTATATTTATGACAATAATTATATTTGTAAGTCTTTAAGCTAAGATTATAATAGTTCACTAGATAAGAATGGCTGTTTAGGGAAACTTTTTCCTATATATTATAAGTGATTCGGAAAAACAAATATTAAAATACATAGTAGGTATAATATTATAGAAATATTAGTGTATTATTGGAAACAATAGCACATAACTTTTGTTTACAGTTATACTATTCCATTTTGTTGTTATGATTATCTTAATATTGTATTATAGGTCTCAAATATATATATTTTAATATTAATAAATATACAAATAGCAAAAGTATAATTTTTATAAAGTTTAAAAAATTTAAATGGTCATTTGAAAAAGTAGTTTTTTGTACGAATTATGGCTGGTCATCAACAAATAAAATTAATAACTACTAAAAAATGATCTAAACTTGAGTGGGGCATTGTATTTACTCCATTTATATAATTTGACACACCAGTCAAACTGTACAAGTGAGAGAAACCGCAAAAAATGTAAATAGTATCAATAACTATCCACTAATTATTATTTATAAGTCAAACCAACTTTTTAGGGTTTTTTTACTCATTATTAGGGGATTGTATTCACGCCGATCCAACGTCAAGCGCATAATGTACGTATATCTGTTACTTTTTTTCATTACTACTTTTACATGATTTTCAACTTCTACCATTATTTCGCTCGGACTTGTTTTTGTGTTTTTGCTAGGGCTTGTTAAAATATCTTAGAAAATCGAAAGTCATCCTAGTAATATACCATACGTTGACAGTATTCTCGAATCAGATATACTTTAGGATAGTTGTAGGAAGCAACAACCCGTTGAGTGTAAAACTTGAATAGCCAATAAAATATCCTCAATTACTCAGACTTTAATAAATGAAAAAACAAAGTAATTGTTTTTAAATAAAAAAAAGGAGTGAAAAAATTGAACAGGAAGTAAATAGTCTTAGTAAACAACTTAGGTTGTTTTAAAATAGCAGTACAAATAGAACACTCTTAAGGAGGTATCTAAATGACTAAGAACGTGTCCCAGCTTTTACGTTATGCGATGGATTAATTATAACTATTCAGGGTGATTTTTTTTATCATGAACCACTCAATATTTCAAAGGGTATAATAAGAAATTAACATTTATTTTTTCATATTGATTTTGTACAATGTGATCTCAGTTTTTCACAATTTTTTTTGTCCCCCCCCCCCTCCCAAATAAGTATTTTTTAAGGCAACTTTTAAAACTTTAATGGTAACGTATACATTTTATTAACTTTTTAAGTTGAGAATAATGTACTAAAAATTTTGACTGATCGGTAATCAGTTTCGGATAACTATTGTTGAAGTTATTGAAGTTTTATGATTAGGGCAGGAGGAAAGGTAGAGTGTAGTATTATTTTTATCTGCGTGCATTTCCCAACCGCACTTCCCCTCCCGTCCTAACTTTAAAACTCTTATTACTTTAAAAAATGTTTAGTACGTTATTCTCATTTTAAAAAGATAATAAAATATATACGTTACCATTTAAGTTTCAAAAGTTGCTATCAATAAAACTTAGTTGGGAGTGGGGTAAAAACAAAAAAAATTGAGATCACATTGTATAAAAACAAAATGAAAAAAATCATTTTAATTTCTTTTTAAACCCTATGAGATGCCGAGTGGTTCATAATAAAAAAATCACCCTGTATTAGATTTTGGTTTAATAATGAAGTTTTTTTTTTTTTGTTTCTGTAGAGCCGATAACTTTATTCCTATGGGCCGATTTACTTGAGTAGCACCTCTTTAGATCCATAATCGTATGCGATTGGTAATTTGGTGGGTCAAAAGTAGAAAAAGTCAACTTCTCAAAACCGGGAAAATTTGACCGATTTCTTAGTGTAGGAACTCTATAGATCAGAAATTGTATCTAGAAGATACTTTATTGGGCCGAAAATTACAAAAATTAACCCCTTCCCATGCTAAACATGCAGATATAGAATGGGACTATAACATGTAAAATTGTCTTAAAAAATCTATGGTCAAACTTGTTTTTATCAAGGACAAACCAAAAAAATAAAGTTGGAAATTACACTTTGACCGTAGTTAATTTCTAGATTGCTATGCGTGAGTGAATAACAGTCAACGGGTAATGAAAGTATTTTCATTATATTGTTAATGACGGTATATAGTGGACTGACTATCAACCCTAATATTGTATCCACCCTAATACTGAAAATTAATTTTCAAGCACATAATTGTCGTTAGGTACAATGCTTTAATCGATATTTGTATTTTTATCTGTGAACACCGGACACTCCCCTTACTTACTCACTACTACTCATTCTCTTACATATAATACTTTCATACTGTGCTTGGCTTGGACTGTATTGGTTTGACCCTACTGTCCACCGATTGGCATTGAAGTATTTTTTTAACCCGT